AGTGCTAAATGTTTGTATTGATAAGAAAGTAAAAAAATAAACTAATTTGATTCAAGAACCCAGAAGATGAAGGAGAAAAGAAGCCAAATATAAGCAGAACAATAAATTAATAAATACTAAAACAGATTTCTTATGTTAGTATACTAGCATAAGAACAGACACATAGATCAATGGAACAGACCAGAGAGCCCAGAAATAAACCCATGTCTGTACGGTCAACTAATATTCAACAAAGGGGGCAGGAGCATAAAATGGAGTAAAAATAGCCTCTTCAACAAATGGTATTGGGAGGCCTGGACATTTACATGCCAAAAAATGAAGTTTGACCACCAGCTTACACCACACACAAAAATTCACTCAAAAAGGACAGACTTAAATGTAAGTCACAACACCATAAAAGTCCGAAAGGAGAACATAGGTAGGAAAATTTCATATATTCCACGTAGCAATATTTTCACTGATACGTCCTCTAGAGTAAGAGACACAAAGGAAAGAATAAAAAAATGGGACTTCTTCAAATCAAAAAGCTTCTACATGGCTTAAAAAACATCAGCAAAATGAAAAGGAAACCAATCATATGGGAAAGTATATTTACCAGTGATACCTCAGACAAGAGTTTGATCTCCAAAATATATAAAGAACCCCATAACCATTAGAAACCATTCCTCATTTTCCCTAATAACACCTCTACCAAGCCTTGGGCAAACTCTAAACTATTTTCTATCTATATAGAAAATGTTAATGAAATCACACAATATGTGTTTCTTAGCAACTGGCTTTTTTCACTTAACGTTATTTCTCAAGGTTCCTTCCTGTTGTAACATGCATTCTCTTGTAACATGAGTACCTCATTCTCTTTTATGGCAGAATAATATTCTATTGTATAGATATGCCACATTTTATTTATCCATCTGTCAGTCAATGGGTATTTGCATTATTTTCCACATTGGCTATTATGAATAATGCTGCTATGAGTATTCATGCATAAATTTTGGGTGGACATGTGTTTTGATTTTTCTTGGGCATATACCTATGAGTGGAATTTCTGGATCCTTTTGTGAGATGCCTGACTGTTTTACAAAGTGACTGTACCATGTTAAATTCCTATCATCAGTAAACAAAGATAGCAATTTCTCTACATACTATTAATGTTTATTATTATTACCCTGTCTTTGATTATAGCCATCCTGGTTGATTGGCTGTCTTTTCTCTGTTTCATTTTTTCTTTTGTGTGTGTTTTTTAAATGAACAGTTTTGAGAGACTATTAAAAGTCAGCCTAGTGCAGTGGTTAAGAATGCAAGATCATCCTGGTGTACTTTGGGATTCTACCACTTGCCAGGATAACCTATGTTATCTCTATATTCACTGTCTTTAACTGTTCAGGTTGTTACAGCAAAATACCATGGACTGGGTGGCTTAAACAACAGATATTTATTTCTCCCAATTCTAGAGGCTGGGAAATTCAAGACCAAGGTGCCAGCAGATTTGTTTCCTGATGAGGGCCTTCTTCCTGGCTTGCAGGCAGCCACCATCTCACTGTGTACTTACACAGCATCTTCTTTATGCTTGCTAGAGGAAGAGATAGAGCTCTGGTCTCTTTTCCACTTCTTACAAGGATACTAATCCCATTATGGGGACTCTACCCTCATGACCTCATCTAAACCTAACTGTTGAGGTCTCAACTCTGGACTGCAGCTAACCAGCTGTATAGTCTGCAGCTATACTCTAAAGGGGGTGGGAGTGGGAAAAACAGTTCATACTTCCAGACATGGGAGGTGATGAGAAACTTTCATGACAGCCTTCCAGGGGAGAGAGGGGAGGGAGTAGGAGATGACCTCCTTGTAGCTCCTCACAAGCCTCCTATCTTCTTGTGCTTTGGGAGGATCACAGGGGAGCTAAGGTAAGGTGTGCTTCAAGCCTTGACCTTCATGTCTGTGTAGGTGTGTACCAAGTCATCTGTGTACCCCACGGAGTACAGGTAAAGCAATGTTTACCAAAGCCTTGATTGTGCATCTTCTTCAAGAAGCATTATATAACTGAAATTTCCCTTCAGTGGTTTCGTCTGGAGAATATATTATGAACAGAAACATAAAGGATTTTATTTTCTTTATACACTATTAAGTACTGTTGTGTGTGTGTATTTTTGTGTGTGAGATTGTTTTACAACCTATACAGGTTTTACTATAATTCATAAAAGCCTTTAAAATTTTTTAGATTATGCATTAAATTTATGTCTTCATAGCAAGCACAGAACTGTGAAATAAGAAGTAAAATCAATTCAGATGTTTCTCAAAATAATGATTGCTACTGACCTCATAACGGGGCACATAAACTTAAGTGCCTTTCAGGAAAGCAAAGTCGAAAAAAGGTGAATTGGTAATTAAACTCATTTTTTCCCAATCTGTCTAATAATACACAATTAAAATAAGGGTTTCTGAGCAGGGCCATTTCTAAATTGTGAAGCACTAAGCCACATAGCTTTACAACGGTCAAGATGTCACATATCTAGCCAAATATCTATGTGATAAATTTAAGTAGCAATATTTTGGGACAAAAATCACACAATATTGCTTAAGAGAAATCTATAAGATTTATTAGCTAAACTGCATTTTCAAACATGCTTTGGATTTGATTTATATGCAAAGGTAACATTCAAAACATTTCACACTGGCTAAACACCAACCAATCAAAACAGATGCTCAGCATTCCCAGCTGTTTCAGTAAGATATAGGTGCCTTTGGTTTGACATTAGCTGTTTTCCCATCTCAGTGTCTTCAAACAAATTTCAGTGACAAAGTCTATGTATACTAAGTACAAAAACAAAAAATGTACAATCCCCTCCTCTCCTAATTCTATTAAATAACTGATCTTTTGGCAAACTTTACCACGTCAAGTAAATTGTTTTTAGTTCTGGAAGTTAGGGTTGCTACAGATTGAGCTCAAAGTCGTTTTCTCCTTTCGCGACCCAAAGTCACTCTTCTCATCAGGCTGATAAGACTTTGGCCGGGGAGGAGGCATGCAAGTATCTTAGGAAACATGATCTGTTCTCAAATCAATAAAACTGCCCACATCAGAAACCCTTCATCTGGGACTCTGGAAATTTGTGTCTCCAAAGCCGTAACGCGTGACCTGTTTGCACAGCACTGTTGGCTGCACCCACAGATTCTTTGGGACTTCAGAGTGTTCCGAGGACAGGAAGTCACAGCAGAAAAGGGTTCATGTCTGTGTGCATTGTCATGATGACTTTGGGGTAAAACAAACAAAAAATGGTAGCTACAGTTCCTTCTGTTGTTGAGTCACATGGCCTACCAGAAAGCAAAAGTCTTCTTTCCTCTATTTTGACATAGAAAATACATAAAAGTTAACTTTGAGGTAAATAGATTATATCATGCTTTGGAAAAGTAAAACTTGTGAGCTGAGAGGGAGAATAGCTATAATACAAATGAAGGACGGTGGGATGGTTAGTTTTGCACGTCAAGTTAACTGGGCTAAGGGATGACCAGATAGCTAGTAAAACATTGTTGTCTGTGTCTATGAAGATGTTCCTGGAAGAGATCAGCATGTGAATCAGGGGACAGGGTAGAGAAGATGGACCCTCACCAGTGCGGGTGAGCATCATTCAATCTCTTAAGGCTTGAATAAATGAAAAGGCAAAAGAAGGGAGAATCTGCTCTCTCTGCTTGAGCTGGAATGTTCGTCTCTATATGTATCCTGTTGGTTTTCTTTCTCTGGGGCCCCTAATACAGAAGGTTAGCAAAATATTTGGTTTCTTTCTTCTTTCTGAATTGGAGAGAATATTAATATGACTTACATTTATACAATTAAGGAGAGCTTTCTTTTTTATGTTGGAGGAAGGTATCAGTGATGTTTTTTTTTTTCCTGAGAAAGGAGGAGAAACAATCTTCCGTGCCTTCATGTGATTCTTCTTGGTAGATCCTTATGTCCTTCTAATGTGTTTTCCCCTCAAAAATATTTTTTTTGTTTTTTCCTTTTTAGTGAGAGAGGTAGTCATATTTTCAAATGTCTTGCTAGCCTGGGGTGGTTCTCCTGACTCAGGCGACTTAGAGCAGGTAGAAGTTTGTCTCTGAAGTCCACTTGCCTTCCTCCCCCCACTTCACTGTCATCAGTCTTGTTGCCCAGGAACCTCCCATAATGTGTCCCAACATGTATCAGCCTCTGACATTTACCAAGTTCTCTGACATTTCTCAGAGTTCGTGCTGTTTCTACTAATCATGTTTAAATACTATTTCATTATGTGTGCAGGACAAGAGTTCTTTCAGATAATATACTTAAATTATTCAAATCTTTATTAATCAAAGTCTTAGGTACCTTTCAGGGATCATGCTCCATACCATACTTTCATAGCCTGATGATTTCAGTTAAATTTATATAATTTTAATGTCATAATATGTTTCAAAACATGGTTTCTTAATGGCTGAATTATATTTATCCTATGGAATTACTCCAAATCATATAACTATTTCTCTTTTGCTGGATATTTGGATTACTAAAAGTTTTCTTTATAATGAACAATTTTATGATAAACATAACCTGGAAAATCCTTATTTACACTTTTTTCTTAAGATAAATGATTAGATATGGAATTATTGTGTAAAGTAAGAACACTAAAGAATATACTGTTACCTTTACTGCCTCCATGTAAGTGAGCAAAATTGAGAAAAGATTAGATCTATACGATATTATGATCCAATACTAAATCAAACTCCACCTAAGTTCTCACTGTAACTATCTTTGTCCCAAAGAGCTTTTCCAAAGGAGAAAAAAAATGAACTAAATTCCTAAAGTGTTGTCTGGCAATATACTAGGATCCAAACATACTTTTGTACACAGTTGGCACGAAATGTCTCACCAGGATCACAAGTTAAAATGTCCAAAAAGTAAGCCCGCAATCATAAAATAAATTTCACAACTTTGAAGGCCTGGTGTTGTGAACTCTATGCATAGATACACTCAACACATTTTTGAAAACAAGTTAAAATGGTAACTGTTTATGGGGCTAAACCTCCCTTATCTTTTGTTTTTCTGCATGTACCGTTTGAAAAGCAGCTGAAGAGCAACACGCAATACTTTGGCCCCAGCTGGCATAGAATAGGAAGTAAGTAAATTAACTTTATAATTTCTGTCTTTCTGAGAAACTGACTGGAATACTCAAGATCCTATTAATGATTTGGAACAAGTAGTTGTAGTTCGTTTCTTCAGTCTCTCACGATTGTTATGGAGCAGATGCTGAAGCTGATGTCTGGCCAGGATGTAAGGACTATACTTAGAAAGGTGAAATAGAAACAATATAAGTTTAAATACAAAAACTGAAATTATTTCTCAAATTTTCTTTAATACATGTTCTGTTGACAGCTGACTTTGAGGTTATATGGAGAAACAGAGAGCTATTTTCATATTGCTTTTCAGTTTGCAATCAATGTTCACAGAAGGTGTAAGATTCTGAAACACTTTGATGATGTACCAAAGGCTGTAGGCCCCATTTTAATCTAGAATATACAATACCTCCTGGATTGATGTCAGAGTGAGTTTCTGACTATGCATTCCAGAAGAATGGTATATTGAAAAATTGAAAAGAAAATTGTCAAAATGACTATGAATATACAAAAATGATTTGTGTTATACATTGGATACCTTTCTTAGTGGTTAAAACCTGGATTTGATCCAGTTGAAATGCTGTGATGAAAGAAATTAAAAGGCTCTAGTTCTTTCCAAAAAAATACAAATCTTTTTATTCCCATAGTCTAAACTATTTTTATTGTCAGAGGTCATATTTCTCTTTACAAAAAATAAGTTTAGGTTTTGTTTAACTTTATCCAAGGAGATTTTAGAATTATATTTTTAAACAGATTATTTTTTTGGATTGAAAAAGAGGCATATTTTAATCTATTAAAATTTTGTGTGTATGCATGTATTGTGTCATACTGATTTATAAGAACCAGCAAAATTGTTCTGTGAATAAAATAGAATGAGATTTATAGGCAAAATAACAGATTAATAAGTAGAAATCAATTAAGTCAGGTCATCGTCAACCTAGTTATTTCATTCAAAATATCAAGTGAACGTCTGTCTTCTGTTAAAGACAGAATTTTCATATAGAGAATAGTTAAACTAGATTGAAATTTCCTTCAGTTCTAAAATTTCATGACATTTGTCTTTTTTATAAAACTCTTTATGTTTTTTCTAATCTGCCTTCAAACTCTGCCTCCATTCTCAGAATACTACAATTTTACCTGATATTAAGAAATTTCAGTGTGTACCAATATTTTTTAAGTTTTCAACAGTTAGTTTATAAAATTTTCAAGAAAACTATAGGAAACAGTCACATTACAAGACAATTATTAGAAAAGTTGGTTAGAGCTTTCTAGATACTGAAACATTTTCCAAAGATTTTCGTTACTTGATTATGTTTCCTGGCTAAATTACATTTGCCACAAGAAGTACTGAAAAGTGATATTTATACAACAACATAGTATAACAATGATAAAGTGAATCCAATCAATAAAACTCAGTATATACTAATAGGAAAATTTATTTGTTTTTTTTATTCTGGAATGGTTGGCATTTGAAGAGAAACAAGTTAAATGGAGAAAGAGGGTAAAATAGAATTATTTTACTGAAACTCTGAAAGGGAATCCTAAAAGTACAAAACAGAAGTTTTGGGATTTAGTGGTTATATATAGAAGAGTAATTTTTATTTTACTATTAGAGTCTGATTAGAGGAACTAAGGTTTGTGGGGCTAATAGAAATGCACGCACATTAAATGTGGTATTAAGGTGGTAAGTGGTATGGGACCTGCACTAATCTGCTACCTACTTGCCTTAGGAACAAGCACTCACAGAAAAAGTCACCAGATGGATGTAAGGAATTTGGGGGAAAATTGTAGATTTTTGGTATTGGAACTAAGACTCAAGCAAAGGGACAGGTGACTACTTTAGAGCTGGAGGGAGAAGGGTGGAAATAGGGTGGTAGATGGGAGGACAAGAGCCTTGACAAAGAATGATATTCTCCCTTCTGCACAACAAAACCAGAAACATATATGACTACATTACTAGTGATTATCAATGGGAAATATCTTCCTTAGAATTGTGTCCTATGCAGAATATATTCCAAGTTCTTTAGGTTCCACTGTGGCTGTTAATAAAGAACTGTGACTGATGAGAATCCTCCCCCACTGCAGCAAACTCAAAGAAGGGGCGTGCAAGGCTGAAAAAGTAGACGAGCAGGAGAGAGGGCTGGGAAGAATAGGGCTGGGGCAAATGACACAAGCAACAAAGAAAGAGGAAAGAGTGGCGGTGGCTGAATGAGGCAAAACCCAGCAGCTGAGCAAGGCCAGCAAGTGTGGGACCCCCGTGGTATAAGCGGAGGAAACCTTTGTCATTAATAATAGCAGTACTGCAGAAATTGTCAGTCAGTTCTCACATTGGCATAAGGTTAAGCCACTGCAATAAATCTATCTATCTATCTATCTATCTATCTATCTATCTATCTATCTATCTATCATCATCATCATCATCTAATCTAAATATCTATCTATCATCTATCATCATCTATCTCTCTGTGGTTCTGCTTCTGATACACCTTCCTAGCATAATTTCTTTCTGTCATAGCAAACTACTCCTAGGTCTTCCACAACACTAGGTGCTCTGTCCACCCATGGTTCAAATAGACTTGGTGCCTGCATGTTTTCCTGCTCTTTGTCCTGTTGTTTAAGGGTCAGCTCAGTTGCCACTTCCATGGAGCCTGTCTTAAGCTCCTTCATTTCAGTCTGTTTTATTTGAGATCACTTCCTGCAGCCTTTGAGGACGCAGCCTGTATACTACTGTTAAAGTCCATTGTGATGTCTCTTTGCTTAAGAACAGGAACTTGTTCTTTCAATTAAATTTAGCACAATTTCTGGCATAATATAAACATCCAATAAATGTTTACATAAATTTAAATGAATTGTGTTTTTTATTTTCTTAGTTAGACCAAAATTTAAAATATTTAATTGTTTCAGGTATGCAAACAAAATCAACCTTTTTGTATTTTTCTCTGTTCTTTTAAAATATATATTTAATTAGTATTTATGAAGTTAAAATATTATGATAAATAGATCTTTTATTCACTTACACATTTACTAGTTATAAATAGCCTACAATTTTTGCAAGTTATGAGAATACAGTGCTGAATTCTTTGTGTTCATGAAATATATTCTAGAGGAATATCAGGAGAGCTAGTGATAGCTTTAAATATCAGTTTGTCAAAAGATGTGGATTTTTCTAAAAATAAACCTTCTTCCTTCTTGCAGACTGAATATATGTTCCACTATTTGGGGTGAAAATACTAGTTTTCAATTTAATTGCTTGATTCAATATCTACCTTGATAGCAAAATTCTAGTGTCTCCTCCCTACCCTGGATTTTCCCATGAACTCAACAGTTTAATATGCCCCACAATGAAAAATGGGTTAACAGTGGGCTTCCATATCAAATTCAGGCTAGTGCTATAGTCTATCAGTCTATTAGCCTATTAATCTTGCTGTCACATAGTGTCACTTTTAGAAACTGGCCCTACACAGTGTGACAGTGGTGGCACTCTCTGTTTTGACACTCCCATGGCAAGGTCACTTCTTTATTCCTTCTTTCCTTCTCTCATCTCTCCCTTGCTCCTTCCCTCCCTTCCTCCCCCCTCCCTCCCACAACCCTCCCTCCCTTGCTCCCTTCCTCCTTCTCTCTCAACTAAATTCAAACAAAGGAGCTCCATGCTTGGATTCCTTAAATCCCAACTCTAAATGTTTAACTACTTTAGATTACATACATCGTCATATTCATCTTCCCCTACACCACCAACTGAGTTTCCAAGGCAGCAGCAGGCTCCAGAGCAATGAGTAAGCATCTGGTCTCTCAGAGACTGAGATTCTTCATCTTATTTCCCAGCCCCCCAAATTCAGAGTCTAAGGCCTGGGAACTTAAGTCCTCAAAAACACATAATCTTACATACAACCACTCCCTGGTCAATGAGGCTTGAAATGGCTGCCCTCCACACCTGGAAGAGGTCCCTCAAGTGACCTCCTAAGTCCTTATGCCAACATTTCTAGAAGAACCCACCTTTTTTTAATGAACAGTGACTTAACATTCTAAAGGGCTCCCATGCTTGCATCTGGGATTTTCCATTGACTTGTCCACATCTAATTTGGAAGCTATCACGCATTACTAGCAATTCACATTATATATTTTTTCCTTTTGCCTACTTTTCGCCTTCATTTTATTTGTTTCAGCTCTTTCCATGAGATTTTGTTATTGTTCAGTGTACTCCATCTGATCTTTCCAAAGTTTACTTTAAAAAAAATATTTGTCCACATCCTCCCTTAGAAGAGGTTTCAGGCCACTTCATACTCTAAAAGGCCCATGTTGGCCTGAAAGTCACATCCTTGTCTTCCTTTGATTACACCACACTGACCCTCCCGGCACCACCAATCAGTCTGGCTTCAGGGTCACACTAACCACAAACCAGAGCTCACATTTCACTCCAGTTTGGATTTTCTGATGACACAGCTGGTATCGACCCTACACACTCTCTGTGTTTGACGGGTGGGAAAGGACAGACAATGGGAAAAACCAGTTCCTGGCACAATGCCACTAGAAAGTTATCCCTTTGAGAAACAAAGGGACAATTTCTCTCTGGTGTTCTCCTGTTTTTCCACTGGGGATTGTTTCTCTCTAGCACACTTATTTTAAGAAACAAAAGGCCATGCTTCAAAAAATTTTCCTTCAAATCACTGCTTTTCCTGAAGAGAAGCTATTCAGTCATTATCAGCCTTCTGTGCTACCTTGACCATGATCTGTGGGTAATTCTTGTATCAGCTTTGCTTGGTACTATAGAATAAGCCTTCTCTGTCCAAAGTGGTGGGATCAGAAGTAGATGATAGGTTTTTTTCTTAAAAGACTGATGTAAATGGAAAGCACACAAAAATGTTAAAAAGAAGTACACCAGTTAGGACTAAAGAATCAACTGGGTCCTCGTTGGGGTTGCTCAGTGGGTTGAGCACCAGCCTGTGAACCAAAAGATTGCCAGTTGGATTCCCAGTCAGGGTACATGCCTGGGTTGTGGGCCAGT